ACCCTGAGCATTTTGGTTATTCAGAAGAAGTTGTTTAAAGGTTTTTTAATACAATTGACCCCTGTGACCTTGAATATAATTGAAGGTCATTCATTTGAACAAACTTGGTAGCCCTTCACCCAAGCATGCTACTGGCCAAATATCATCTCCCTGGGCATTTTGGTTATTGAGAAGAAGATGTTTAAAGTTTTTGACATATTTGACCCCTGTGACCTTGAAAATAGGTGAAGGTCATTTATTTGAACAAACTTTGTAGCCCTTCATCCAAGTTTGCTTCTGGCCAAATATTGACACCCTAGGCCTTTCGGTTATTAAGAAGAAGTCGTTTAAAGTAAAATATTGACGCCGGACGACGGACGGACAGACGACGGACGGACGGACGACGGACGCCGCGCCACGGCATAAGCTCACTTGGCACTTCGTGCCAGGTGAGCTAAAAAGGGCACCACTGTATCGTAAATACCTGTCTATAAAGGTCATGTCTGTTTAGTACATACCTGTCTATTAAGGTCACCTCTGTATAGTAAATACCTGTCTACAAAGGTCACATATGTATTGTAAATACCTGTCTTTAAAGGTCATGTCTGTATAGTACATACCTGTCTATAAAGGTCACCTATGTATAGTAAATACCTGTCTATAAAGGTCATGTCTGTATAGTACATACCTGTCTATAAAGGTCACATCTGTATAGTAAATACTTGTCTATAAAGATTACCTCTGTATAGTAAATACCTGTCTATAAAGGTCACATCTGTATAGTACATACCTGTTTATAAAGGTCACATATGTATTGTAAATACCTGTCTATAAAGGTCATGTCTGTATAGTAAATACTTGTCTATAAAGATTGCCTCTGTATAGTAAATACCTGTCTATAAAGGTCACATCTGTATAGTAAATACTTGTCTATAAAGATTACCTCTGTATAGTAAATACCTGTCTATAAATGTCACCTCCGTATAGTACATACCTGTCTATAAAGGTCACATCTTTACAGTAAATACCTGTCTATAAGGTCACCTCTGTATAGTAAATACCTGTCTATAAAGGTCACCTCTGTATAGTAAAATCCCGTCTATAAAGGCCACCTCTGTTTAGTAATTATATGTCTATTATGACCTTTGAAGAGTAAATAATGTCCTTGATTTCAATTAGGTGGCTTTTGGAAGGTTGCGTTAATTTTTTATTTCATTCACAGAAAATTTCATCCTTTTATTGCACAAGTTTGATCATTGTTATAGAAAAACAGAGGAATGGAGTGAGGAGGTTAAGTTTATTTTCAATGTCGACTTATAACTTCATACAGAACATTTTCCAACATTTACATTTTCAAAAATAAGTTATATTTACACTACCCAACAAAACATACCCCATCAAACATGTACGTTCTATATATATATGTCAAAAACAGATGCCTTCAATATAATTATCATTGAAAGAAACTGCTTCACAGATTAGTCTTTTTTTTTTTTGACAGGTGGTGTAAGGCGTTAAGTAAACTCTGCAAACTTATTTCAAACTCCAACCGTCACCAAAACGAACATTACCAGATTTCCAAAACAGCTGGAAAATTTAAAATACGTAATTGATATATTCTCATTGGAGCAATTTTCATAAACTAACTTCCGATCATTACCATATGAATTTTCCATAACTCGGTAGGAATTTTGTAAAGGTCAGAGTGATATGGTAGATAGTAAGCATGGCGCAGTAACGGCTCCACGAGGGGACGCGTGGGATGCGTGGGACGCGTGATCAGTCAGCTTATCATTACACGTACCTAAACCAAGCCATCAGATTGTCTCACTAAAATAGTAAAATAGAGTTCACTGATATTATCATATGTAGTTTAAAATAAATCTATGAACTAAACATTACCTATATTTTGTGGTTATTTTTCAACCAACTTAATTGTATGAAGTTAAAATCATGAAAAGAACATCATACATTTTTTAATTTATGATGAATAAATATTGGTGACATATTTCAATCAGAAGTCTATTTTTTGGTTAACGTATTACATGGTTTACAGCTAGGCTTTATTTACATTTATGCTTTAATTTGTTATATGTTGTTAACATTAAAGCGCTGTTAACAATTATGTGTTGTTTACCTTTGTGTTGTTTATAGTTATGTGTTGTTTATAATTATGTGTTGTTATAGTTGAGTGCTGTTTATAGTTATGTGTTGTTTATAGTTATGTTTTGTTTATAGTTATGTGTTGCTTATAGTTATGTGTTGTTAATAGTTATGTGTTGTTTATAGTTGTGTTGTTTATAGTTATGTGTTGCTTACCTTTGTATTGTTTATAGTTATGTGTTGTTTATAGTTATGTGTTGCTTATAGTTATGTGTTGTTAATAGTTATGTGTTGTTTATAGTTGTGTTGTTTATAGTTATGTGTTGTTTACCTTTGAGATGTTTATAGTAATGTGTTGTTTATAGTTATGTGTTCTTTATAGTTATGTGTTGTTAATAGTTATGTGTTGTTTATAGTTGTGTTGTTTATAGTTATGTGTTGTTTACCTTTGAGATGTTTATAGTAATGTGTTGTTTATAGTTATGTGTTNGTTTATAGTTGTATTGTTTATAGTTATGTATTGTTTATAGTTATGTTTTGTTTATAGTTATGTGTTGTTTATGGTTATGTGTTGTTTATAGTTGTGTTGTTTATAGTTATGTGTTGTTAACCTTTATGTTGTTTATAGTTATGTGTTGTTTATAGTTATGTGTTGTTAACCTTTATGTTGTTTATAGTTATGTGTTGTTTATAGTTATGTGTTGTTTACCTTTGTGTTGTTTATAGTTATGTGTTGTTTATAGTGTTGTTTAAAGTTATGTGTTGTTTATAGTTATATGTTGTTTATAGTTATGTGGTGTTTATAGTTATGTGTATCTTTATCTTAGAATATAGAACAGATAAACAAATTAACTCTTTGAAAACACTAAATTTAAGGGTTCAAAATCGAGAGTCTCCTTCCTAAATAGGGAGGGTTGGCAAAATGCAAGTACAGTGGTGTTTAAAGTCATGTATTGTTTACATTAATGATGATTTTTTTGTTTTGTGTTGTTTAGTTATGTATTGTTTACAGTTATGCATTGTTTATGGCACTGCATTGTTAAAAGAAATTCATGACAAACATACACATCCTATTCACTGTTTTATTTTTGTTTTAGAGCTAATATTAATCGGCAAGAAATACTTTTTTTTATTGAAAAGTTGTTTACATTTTCTGGACAAAGCTTATAATGCTTTGGGTTTGGTGAAGTTAATTATAAATACCACTATGGTTTCTTTGCTGTTACTTAGATAGACTTTCTTGCTGAACTTCATAATTGTGTTCCGTGTGCGTCCCTTTTGCAGTTACACTTAATACACACAGCGTTTATCCAAAGAAACGAAAAGCTGATAAAATCTTTAAAAAACACCACGCTCGACACTTAACAGGAAGCTACCGTCTGACGCCACTTTCCCATCAAATAAACCTGTTATTTCTAATTTGGTTTCACATGCTAAGAGTGTAATGTGAAAGTCGTCAAAATGCCACAAAGCATTTCTGTTCGAAGTCTCCCAGCAAAAATTAAATATCCGGCATCTTTTAAAAATTAAATCGTCAGCCTGTACACGCTTACATCCTAAATTTGGAAAGCGTACGCGTACGTACGCACGCCGCAATGACCAGAAACCCTGTGAACTGCTAATTTGTGGGATATGGGATAAAACTAACACACTTCTGCCACTGCAAATTTTCCTGAGAAAGTTCCGTACATCTTTGTTCATGGTTTAGAAAGTATGCTAGAATTCTAGTGAAATACGCCAGATTAATGAGCAGAAATAAGTCACAATTATTCAGGAGAATAGAAAACAGAAGGGTAGGAATTAGTAAATTTACTATGCTGGGATTTTTCTCAGGGTGTGATTAGACATTTAACAAATGGCTTCCACGTGGGTTAGCATCCGATAGACAAGAAAGAAATTAAAACCTTCACATCGCAGACTGTACCGAAGCACAATGGTAGCTCTTAATCTTTTTACTGCACATGTGTTACAACTTATTATGCAATATTTTGTCAAGGATAAACTCATAATTGACATTTTTGTGTACTTCTTCATTTGAAGATTTTAAAAAGACCTTATATGAAGATGTGATGATAAACAACACAGCTTTTAATAGAATATTTTTGAATGAAGACTATCTTAATGATATTTTTTAGAAATGAAGTGTAAACGGAAAAGATGATGACAGAAATTGTTATAGGACATTTTTATCTCAAGTAAAGTGCATTTGCACATTAATCGATCAGAGGCGTTTAGGTTGCTGGGAAATACAGATATGTTTAATTGTGTAACATGTATTTGTTATACTGAATAAACTAGGAGAGACCTGTTTCTGATTCTAAAGAGAAGTGCAACTGGAAATGGTTTCTGATCATAGAGATGCGAGGTTGTTTTAACATCCCTGTACCGTACGACTGCTGAAAACTGAAACTAAATATTGGAAACCGTTTTGTGACCAAATCATCAATAATTTCTGAAAGGAAAAGCAATACCTTGTGGGACTTTTATGAGAAAAAATAAAGGTGAAAGAAATCAAATCAAATCAACAACAGTGTTCTGAGCGGAAAAAAAATCAGCGGGGCTTGACCGGGATTCAAACCCTGGACCTCAGATTGTTATACTATCCCTCTAACCGATTGCGCTATACCTGATCAACAGAAGTGCCCTGGTCCAACTGTGTTACAGTTATATCCAAAACAAAATCAAGGGGAGGTAACTGTACATATGAAAACCACAGCGCAGTACGTGGGTCAGGTATCCTTAACATGGATTTTTACATGTACCTTGATTTCTTTTGAGGTTACACATGTCATATAGGTAACCAGAGGATTCTATCAGATCACCAGAACTTTAGGAACTGGTATTGTTCATTCTGATCAAACCATAACTTGTGGTTGTCTTCTAGTCGCGATTGTAACATGTAGCTAGGATAGCGTCTAGGATACCAAAGAAACACTAAACCATGGCAAGGAAACCAACAAGTCCACAGTTAGTCGAACAGGACAATTACAATACCGGTAACCCACAATAAACAGGTCCTAATCAAAGAGATATAAGTCAATTTCATCAAAATCACATACGACCCTAATATAAGACTCCAGCTGTTTAAAAATAATTAAATAAAATATAGAACATTTGATATAGCACCCTACTAGCTAGAATAAGCCGCTCTAAAGCGCTTTAAAGAGCCTAGATATTCAATTTATAAATCAAAACAATTAGCATATACATTAATCAATACCATTTTTGAGGAATTCGCAGGAGCTGCCTCATCAGGCGCTAACTACTAGTCCTATGCCACCTGGCTAAAATCTCCAGATGTGTGCATGCCCCCATGTGTGCCGGAGATGTATTGTGTATTTTACCTGATAGGAAAGGTCGGGTCATATTCAAAGTCATTAATGGCTTGTGGATAGCCTATTTCCACCAGTCTCTTTTTGAGGAGATCAAAACCTAGGGACTCATATTCTGGAGATTTGTAGACTGAAAGGAGAAAAATAACATTTATTAGTTCATGTCAATAAGCCTTGTTTGCGTACAAGTTTTGTCCAGTACAGACACAAGAACATGAGGAATTAGATATCACTTTTATGAAACTTCTTAACAGTGCAGAAAATACAAAGCTTTGGGAAATGAACATGAAATCTTTAAGTCGAGCAAACTCCCAAGACTGAATACAAGTGGACACAGATCCACAATCTTGAAATTGAGATTCAGTTTTTCAAGAATATACGCATTTACAATCATCAATAATTAATAATTAATAAGCTTCAAGCCAGAAGTACCCGGGAGAATTCATGAACTTAAAATTTTAGAAGTCAACAGACAAACTCAGTTTCGTAATTAGTTTCATATGGGTAGCTGTGGGTTTTTTTTAACATATCTTAATATTTTGCAGCTTTCTTTCAAATTGACATTTGAACCCCTTTTACACACAATTTCAGAGTATTGGATTTTTATTGGAAATTTGAGGATCTGGAACAGAGAAAACTAAAGACAATGTGACCAAAAAATAACACAAGTTAACTGATTCATCGCTGAAGACACATTTGAACTCTTCCAAGGCAAAGGTTGGAATAGTGCATTATGAAATTTCAGGGGTAAATGAGTTGAAGAGAAGATTAGCACATTATTAGAGTGGGTACTAAGTATTTAACTTCACTTAAAACTATGCTGATCATAAATTTTGATGATCATAGTCTGCTTAACAGACAGTAAGGAGTGATGAACTGTTTCAGTAACAGAAAAACTTCCGTAAGAAATACTTTGAAATCATTTTGCGAACTGTTGTCTGTGTTTAAGTGACCAAATCTTGATATACAATCCACAAATCGTATAAGATGATATTCCTGACTTGCAGAGTAAAATCTTATTACTACAGATTTTTTTTCGGTGGACAACGGAGTTCAAAGACAAACATTGTCTTTTATTTAAACTTTTAACAAAGAACAGGTTTTCATCTCCGATGACTTAAAGCCAGTGTTCTGGGTAGCTCTAGTACTCATCAGTGTGTCGCTTCTCAAAAGAGTGCGACCGGTGCCCCCCCACTGTAATTATAGAGGTGTACGAGACTTCTCTTCAAGTCAGGTCACCTAACTGTTTACCTGCTTGTTGATGAAGAAGATTTTAGGGTTCCCTTGGGAACGTGCAGGTAACGTTACCTTTAACGAGCTTTTTCACCTTTCTGTCAATAGTGGAGGGACAGGTGTGGAAGTTTACCTGATCCGTTCTAATTTGTTTCAAATGGCCCCGCCCCATTCAATGTGAACCCCCTCAGGACTTCCTCAGGGTTCCCTCCCCTCCACCTCCTATGATAATAGATCATCTCATAGTCCAATAGCTGATCTTCATGACCTTTCCTCTATGTTTTCTATTCTCTTATATCTTGCAATCTGCCACAGGTTTTTTAGTCTATGATAGGTTTTTGTTTGACCAACACAAAGTTCATCCAAAAAAGTTGTCCCCTGAGTAACATAAGTTTTCATCTGATCATCTCATCCCAGCAATGATTGTTAGAAAACTGAACTAAATATCCTTTTTATATAGGTCATTCCTTTCAAGTTATTTTTGTCTAGGTTGCATTTTCATAGCGAAATTTGTTACATCATTAAAGCATTTTGTTAAATATCATCCTGCTGGAAAAGACATTTTCAAATGATTTTTAATTTTAATTTACATATATGTAGATAATAAGACTTATTACCAGTCTTTCTATTCAATTGTTCTCTCTCTTAAATCAAGATGCAGATGCAAATTAATAGATAGTGATCTCAAAGTTTCTGCTAAGTTCTTTGTAACAGATCTAATCGATAATCATAGCGGATTAGCCCCACTAACCATGAAATTGCAAAATCCAGACACTCATTCTTTGGAACCATTTTCTGCAACATTGATTTATTCAAAAGAGTTTATTAGGAAAAGAGTTTATACAGGTATTCCTTATGTAAAACAATTTCCAGTCTGGAAATTTTATTTGTGTCATTTAATGTCTGTCGAAAAGTTTTCACAGACACGGCTCTATAAATATGTGCTCACCTTTGACAAAATATTTTTAAAAAATAAAAGTAATTTTATAATTCATGATCTACAAAATTCAGGTTTTGTTGATCTGTAAATTTATTAATCCAGCTATTAATTTTCTCCAGGAACAAAAGTTTCCAGATTGAGGAGGTAGTAAGAACTAGAGCAAGTCTACGACGGAGATTAAGTGATAATTAATGACTTTTGTATCCTATGATTAGCAGGACGATTTACTTCTCCATTTTCCTCCATGATGAATGGGACTGACGACAAGAGTGATGACAGTAGCGATGAAGTATGTGATACAGAAGACGGAGGAGATGACGGACGTGTGATAAGGATTGGGAGAGAGGTGGACAGCACTTAGACTGTATCGATGTCTCACTTGATAATGTACGTAACCTGTCATCTTTAAGCGATAGTCAGGGAGGAGGCAGTTTACACTTATATAGTGACACAATATCTGGGGAGCGGTACATATATATATATAGTAACTCCCTAAGGGCTGTAAGTTATATAGAGGGTTTATGTTAGTAAGGAGCCCAATTATAGCTAACTATCAGCATATACAATGTATTAACTCCCCAAATCATTTTATATCAATTTCCCGATTGACCTTTAATTTTGATATATTAAATTTAAAATACATGCATTAGAATGAAACTCTAATGTTATGTATCAAAATAAATTGCAAATAATTTGAAATAAAAGAGATAAAATGTTCACAAAATTTTGCTACATATATATATATATTAACATGAGAAAAAATGGATTTTCCCCACTAATTCTGGTATTAATGTCATAACAGACTTGATCCATATATATATAGCTAATGGCCAGAGCAGCTAATTTACTAAACTGACCACTCCCATCACTGACCATCTGTAAGGAATCTATTTGTACTGACCATAGATACACAAACAGACTTATCTGACTAGCGATTAGTTGTATAACAGCTCTGTGAACACTACCTGTTCAGGGTCACTTAAGTGTTTGTGACATAATCTGTGTCAATATGATGCTTGGAAGCCTGGTCATTTCCTGTACCTGTTTGGTGGCCTGGTCAGTTTTATTACATCCAGGGTCATTAGTAACCTTCAGTGGCTCTTTGATGTAGATATCAGCGGCCAGTTTGTGGCTATTTCGTGTCCCACTACAGGAAATGTCCATTTTTCATGCCCGACTGTGAAGATAGTAACCCTTACTCCCTAATACATGTAAATTTGAAGCTATTCTTTTTGAGTGGTCACTCCTTTTCATCTTAATGGGCTTTGACATTTGATCTTTAATAGTTAAACGTACACTTTACTTTCAGATCACACAGAACAAGTACTTCTGCTCTAAAAGATTTCATGGCATTTCACAACATGAAGGGTTTTATAGGTTTGGGTCATGTCTGTTTTCTCATGGTGTTTTTTTCAAATTTCTCTGAAGATGTGAGACTGATTTACAATAATATATTCTACACAGTTTTTATTTCGTTTTTATGGCATTCGTTTCTACTCCGAATCATATGTTTTAAACATGTCTTTGAAGATGAAGATTTGCCAAGTAAAAAGTACATTTCCTATAACATAAACACTAACCTGAAATTTATAAGATCTGGAGTGCATTTTCATTGAAGCAAGGCAAGGAGAGAATATAAAGGCTCTGCATGCTGTACACATTGAAACCTGTATCTGTGAAGTCATCCTATAAAATTGGTTAAAACCTGGCACTGCAATTTCATCTGTAGAAATCTTCATCAATGACCACTGGAGGGTGAAGCTCTAACTTCCCTCTCCCTAAACCTGTTATACAGCCACCTTTTTTTTGTCCATCAAAATTTTGGCATTATAAAGTGGATTGGAGTTTAATCAGGAAGTGTAACAGAGAATTTTCATAATAAATATCTTTAACGAGGACCTTGAAATATGTTGGTGATAATTATAATTAGCAAGGCGGGAAATGAACGAACTGTGAAGGGGCATTATATTAAGGGTTTACTGTTCTGGGGTAATACTCCTAATAAATGTGTATTAGTAATTTGATTTCTAGATACAAAATAGATAAACATATATATATATATATAAGGGTTTTATAGGTTTGTATTGTATGAGACACCCACCTCCTCCAAAATGTCATATAATACAAACCTATACATTTTGGTGATTGTGGGGAAGGGGATGGGACTGGGGTCTCAATAGACTATATATATATAGTTACCATCATATCATTTATTTAAAATAATCTATTATGTTTGCAGTTAGCAGAATTAAGAATTAATTCAAAATTTATTTATTTATTTGGCCTAATGTATAAAACTTACATCTTGTTGAACTAAGACAGGTTCATGAGATAATGAACAGTGATTAAAAGTATTGTTGTGGACAGTTAGAGAAACTAACTATTAGTGACCTTTATACATTTTGGTGATTATGGGGAGTGGGAGGAGGTGGGGGTCTCAATGGTAAAAACTGTAAGTGACCTTTATACATTTTGGTGATTGTTGGGAGGGGGGAGGGGGGGGGGTCTCAATGGTGCAAACTGTTAGTGACCTTTATACATTTTTGTGTTTGTGGGGAGGGGGAGGAGGTGGGGGTCTCAATGGTAAAAACTGTTAGGGACCTTTATACATTTTGGTGATTATGGGGAGGGGGAGGAGGTGGGGGTCTCAATGGTACAAATTGTTAGTGACCTTTATACATTTTTGTGATTGTGGGGAAGGGGATGGGGATGGGAGCGGGGTCTCAATTGTACCTGATGATTGATGGGAGGGGGAAGGGGAGGGGGTATCAATGGTACAAACTGTTAGTAACCTTTATACATTTTTGTGTTTGTGGGGAGGGGGAGGAGGGGGGGGTCTCAATGGTACAAATTGTTAGTGACCTTTATACATTTTTGTGATTGTTGGGAGGGGGGAGGGGGGGGGTCTCAATGGTACAAATTGTTAGTGACCTTTATACATTTTCATTTTGGAGATT